CACACTGAGATAGGCGCCACTTTCTGACATTCCAGCCACAGGATGCCATGGTTACAATTATGCACACACATATCCCTGCTACCTTGCTCATGTACGTGAGTCCCTGTGCGGACAGACACTCACGCCCTCTGACCCCCTGGCTCCTTTCCCAGCCCAGCCTGGGCTGCGGAGCAGGGCCCGCGGAGACCCTGGGCTGCCCCTGGGCTGGGAGGGGCTGGCCTCTCAGCATGAGCCCAGTGCAGCCCTCTGCTCAATGCGGCTGCCCCCTCCCCCAGGCCCAGCTCAGCACGCAGACACCTCTCTGCCTCTGCTCACCTCATCCCCTGGCTGCCCTCCTGACCCCGACCGGAGGGCCTTCCATACTGGGCCAGCCCTTCAGGCCGGCTGGGCATGGCCTCAGTGGCTGCTGGAGGCCTCTGAGCCCCCCTGGGGAGTAAGACTCCCACTCACTCAGGCCAGGCGCCGTCTCAGGCTTTACTTTATGATCCCGTTCAGTTTTCACAGCAACCCCACCGCCATGAAGAACCCGCGGCCTGAGAGGTTAATAAGGTGTGACAGCAGCAGACCGCGCCTGCACTGTATGTGCGCACACATGCAACACACACACACACACACACACACACACACACACACACGCTGGTACGGCCACCAGGGACACGCCTGCCTTGCCGATGTGGACATGGACACGGGCAGCCAGGCCACCGACCGAAAGCCGCTGGGCACCGTGTTCAAGCTGGCAGCGGGCCCTGCGAGCCTCGTGCTAGGTGCCGGTTTGTGTGGAGATGTGGGCGAGCCCTGGCCACGTGGTGGCACGGGAGGCAGTGGCCTCTCTCTGGGGAGTGTGCGCCCGGCTGGGTCCCCAAGCAGCAGGGGTGTTACCAGAACCACCAGGGAGCTTGTTGACTTACGACTCCCGGGCTCTGGCGCAGAGTGACCACTCAGATTCTGCAGAGCGGGGCCCGGGGTCGCACGGCACAGGCCCCAGGCAGCTCCAGGCAGCGCAGGCGCCTCCCCGTGCAGCAGTGCTCCCGCGTCCGCTGTATGCACGGCTGCGGTCTCACACCTGCCTGATGTTTATGTCCCTGCCTCTTTGTTGTTGTTAATCCTCACCCACAGATATTTTCCCATTGATTTTTAGAGTGGAAAGGAGGGGCAGAGACAGAGAGAGAGAAAAACATTGATGTGAGAGAGACACATCGATTGGCTGCCTCCTGCACGTGCCCTGGCCAGGGCTGGAATTGAGCTTGCAATCAAGGTGTGTGCCCTTGACCAGAATCGAACCTGGGACACTTCAGTCCAAGGGCTGATGCTCTATCTACTTAGCCAAACCAGCTAGGGCTGTACCCCTGTCTTTTGATAATAAGACTGAATTTGTCCTTCAGGGAGCCACCCCTCCCCTCTTGCTCCTGACGCATGTGGTCTGACCAGGAGAGCCCACCTCCAGCCCACGTGATTGGTTTGGGGCTGAGCATGTGACCTGATGATCAGGCCCAGGACTTTTGCCATGGTCACTGGGAAGGAGGGGCATTCTGGGGAGAGTGCTGAGCTGGGGGATGTGTCTGGCCTGGTCTCGGCCCTCCGAGTGGAGAGAGCCGACTAGAGAGTGAAGTTAACTGAGAACAGTGCAGATGGCTGCTATCGGGGTGTATACCTGAAACCTACATCCTTTTATTAACCAATGTCACCCCAATCAATTCAACAAAACATGGTGAGCCAAGACAGAGTCCTGGTGACAGCATCTGAACACCGGGATCCACCCACCCCTGAACCCAGTGCACCTGTGGGCTTCCCAGTGTCCGAGCCAGTGAATTCAGTTTTGCTTAAGCTGGTTTGAGCTGGGTCACTTGCATCCACAATGTCTTGACTAACATACCAGCTACTTGTATGTTTAAAACAGCTCGGCAAATGCACAGAACGGCGCTGCTTCTCCCCCAGCGAGGCCCCTGCTATTTAAGGAAAGCAATGCCCACCAACCTCACTGGGTAGGGCCCTCGGTGGACGTGGGCCTGGGCCCGCTTACCAGCCTCATGGCCACTTTGCACTGCTGGGCATTGCAGGCCCTTCCGGGTGCTGGGCTGCCGCTCGCCGAGACACTGCGATTGTCTGCAAAGAGGTCGAGGACCACAGGGTGGTGGGGGTTCCGCTCGTCAATAAGGACCAGGGGCGTATGGTTCCAGAGGGTGAAGTTCAGGGCCCTGGTGGCGTTGGCAAGGGGTAGCTCGGGAGCCACGATCCTCTCCAGGACGGCTTTCATCAGCTGATCCAGGTCCTCCAGCAAATGCTTGACTTTAGCATTCCTGGGTGGGGAGAGGACTGGTCAGGGGGGCGGGCAGCAGGAACGGCCACTGTAGCCCGGCACCCCCTCGTGCTCCAGCACAGCTGCCACCGTGTGCGAGAACCCCCTGCCCAAGCACGCACTTCTCTACCCACCTGCCCATGCGTGTGCCCACTCACTCCTGTATGCGTGCACCGAGTATTTAGTGAGCACCTACTGTGCGCCAGGCACTGTGAAGGTGCAGAGGACAATGCAGAACTGAGGCTGTGGGAGTTGCTGTGACTCCCCCAGCCCACCCACTGATGAGGGCAGAGCTGAGCCTGGGCCCTGGGTGTGTGGGCTGCAGCGGGCATGCTGTTTGTACACGGGTGGCGGGGTGTCTGCTGTCCCCCTCCCTGGAGGGGAAGTGGCAGAGGGGCAGGTCTGTGACCCCGAGGTCCCCCCTTTCCCGGCAGTGATTTGGGGAACAGGAGCCAGTGGCAGGAGGGAGGAGGTGGATGGGATGTGGGCTGGGCTCCAGTACTTGTTCTCAGCCCCTGGAGGCTCCCACATTGGAACCGGTGAGCAGTTTGTGTGGTAGAAATGTGTCCATACCAGGGAGTGCCCCCCGCCCCCGCAGTCCCTGTACCCCAGTCACCCCACACCCAGCAGATTAAGACCCAACCCCAGTGTGTGGTCACCAGTGTGTCAGCGGGGGCGGGAGGACTTCCTGCAGGAGAGGCATTAAACCTGCACACAGGCCCCAGTTGGGCACAAAGGTGTAGGGCAGGTGGTGCTGCCATCGCCTTGGACACGGACGCTGCCTGCCCCTGGCTGTGAACTGGCCCCTGGGGCACGCAGGAGGGGCTCGGGAAGGTGGAGGTGCGCGGTGGCGGCGAGGGCTGCTGCTACCGCCCAGCTGTCCCCAGCTGTTGTCGAGCTTGGGGGGTCACGGCCTGGACTGTGGTTCAAATCCACTTACTATCTGGGTGTCCTTGGGCAAATGAGCCTCTCTGAGGCGCTGTTCTCTCATCGACAGACTCGGGGAAACAATATTACTCACAGAGGGCTGCTGGGAGGAGCAGGGAGCTGAGGCTCACGAAGCACTCGGGACAGAGCCTGGACGGAGGGCTGTTTTACTGTCATCACCCTGGGTCCTCCTGAGCCCTCGCTGAAGGACCCGCCCGCACATGCGGGGGCCATATGACTGCGAAGGGGTTTCCCGTAGCTGCAGTGCAATCGGCGTGTGCATGCCCTTCGAGGACCTTCTTGTGGAGGAAGTGTTCTCCGTGGCTCAGCTGCGCTGGCCCTTCTTTCAGGTCTTTGAATGCACCAACTCCGTCTCCCCCGGCCCCTGGCACATGCTGTGCCCTCCACTCAGAGTGCTCTCTGCGTCCGACCAGGTTGGCTAACTGTACTCATTCCTCGGGGCATTTTTCTCCGACTGACCCGCCGCCTCTCCTCAACCCTGGCTAGGGTGGGTCTCCTTGTGTGTCCCCCTCACGGGCCTTGCCATCAAGTGCTTAAACGGTGGCAGCTCTGGATCAGATCAGGCCCAAGTTCAAATGCCACCGTTGCCCACTGTGTGTCTCTGGGCAGGTTCCTTGACCTCTCTGACTCTCCATTTCCTGGCCTGTAACTTGGGGCTCTGACAGGAGTGACCCTTGTAGTCGTGTGGGTTAGAATTACATGAATTACCCAAGAACACTCAACACACTGCCTGGCACTTCACAAGCCCTCGATGCATGGCTGCTGTACATATATTTTTTTTATCATCACTTTATAATTATTGAACTATTATAATTTAATATTTCAGGAAAAAAAGAATAATGTCTGTTTTCTTTGGTAGGCTGTGAAGAGGGCAGGGACTTCTAATCACTGATTTATTCCCAGTGTCCATGACAGTGCCTGGCACATAGTAGGTGTGCTAAACACACATACTGAAGCAATCATTAGGCACTGGTGTACCTGAAGACAGGGACTGCTAGATACTTTCCAGGCTCTCTTTAAGCCTAGGTTGTTTATGAATATTGACTCTTACTTGCTGCAAAGGGATGAAAGCAAATAGGGA